CGGCTCTTGACTCGGGTGCAACCGAAACAAAACAAAAACATGAACAAGAAAACATCTTAAGGTGATTACACGCCACTCGGACGTACCCGAATCCCAACACCAGTTGGCCAGCAGATTAGTGGAGCTGGTAACCAGTCGAACGCATACTACACAGCCCCATCCGTGTGCATCTTTAACATTCACCAACCAGCCATTCAAACGCCCGGGTACGAGTTCAATCACGAACCCGACCCATCAGGCCCAGCAGCCACCAGGTACGAACGCTCACCCCAAACAACGAGCCGACTCGCCACCTGATCCCCCTTTAGGCCCCGAAGCAACTCATCCCAAACCAGTGGCCAAAACCTTCACCACCGACTGCCACGAGCACTGTGACGTCATCCCGTGTACCCGAACCCCCACCACTCCCGGGCCCTTGGCAATGTTTTGGTTCCTTTGCTGTTTTCGTGATCGCCATCGCGCAATGCGGCGCTTTGAAACAACATTTGGTTTTGTTGTTGTTGTTGTTGGTGGTGTTACAACAAACACAAGTCACAAACGGAACGCACCGCGACCCGACGTCGGCTAATGAACCCGGGGGAGTGCAGCGCACGCGACAATCACAAGGGCCGACGACGACGACGAGGAGGAGGAGGAGCAGAAAAAAGATGAATAACAGACGACGACGACGAGGAGGAGCAGCAGCAGCAGCAGCCCCTCTCCCGCTGAGCAAGTTTAAACAAAAACACACACACACACAAACGCTGGAGGGGAGAAATGTCACGAAGCGCCTCACTCTGCCACCCTCCCAACCCGGGGCCCCCCCAAGGGGGAGAGGGCGAGGGAGTGCTGGGGGGGGGGGGGGGAGACTTCGTGACGTTTTTGTTTCTACTCCGTGCATTAAAACCTCGCGCTCCTTCCTTGTGAGCCCATCTCGCCAGCTCAATGTTGCCATTAGGAGCGTGCGCACCACCACCCCCCCCCTCTCTCTTTAACGCTAACCCGGCAATATAATGACTTCCTGGTCTTGACAGCCTACCGGCGAGACGCTGGGCTAAGCAAGCAGCAGCAGCAGCAGCAAGCAGCCTTGAATGCGTTTTAAAAAGCGAGTATCCCTCCGCCCAGTGATTGTCCTCGGAGCACAAGTAGCTACATATGTCGTAGCTTCCAAGGGCCCCCGCGATAAATGCTTTCAAGCTATCAATTCCGGTCCAGTGATTCTGCACTTGCTCTATTACTATAGTACTATACCGCCTTCAACTTTAATGAACGACTGGGTGTTTAAAGTTAGCGATTTGTCGTATTATCCGGCTGTATAGCGAATGAACAAATACAATGACTTTTAAGTAAATAATTTGTTGACTTAAAGCTTTCGGGACGTAGATAAGTTCAAAGTCACGTATATAGGTTTGTTATTGTCTTTGAACCTATCTACGTGACTTTACCGAAATACCAAAATAATATTTTAAAAAATCAGTGTTTTAATATTTATGTGTTTTTATTTCATTTTATTTAGGGCCCCTTTATAGCATACGCTACAGGCCCCGCACTAGCTTCATCCGGCACTGCGTCCAGCCCGAAACGTCGTAACTTGAGTCGCCGTACGTGCGTGCGCGCGTCTCTCTCCGTCTTTGTGGGTCGCAGTGTCGCAAGCGGTCAGCGCGCTGCAACTAAGAACCCTGGCGACCCGAGTTCGATTCGCGCTCAAAGCCAACACCCGTCGACTCAAGACTCAAATAAGTACCTCGGCACGACGTGCAAGATACCGCAACTCAGGGAGACAAAGGCGGCCGGGCGTGGTGCTGGCCACCCACTCCCGTCGTTTTCCGTACCAGACTTCATAGGTACTACTCGCGAACAGCACTTGCCCCAACAGTCTGTTTAGGTTACACGGGGGATCTTTGTCTTTGTTGTTTGTGAGCAGAGGTTTTTTCCGTGTTAGCTCTGTGAAATCTTTTCGGATCGTAACGTGTGTCGATTGGCATCGTGTCCATCATGATATCCACAATCCGAAAACATAACAAAAAAATTACCCTCCCAAGGCATGGGGCACTGCCTCATCCAGCAGTTGGAAATGACGAGAGGGTTGGCAATTGTAGGCGCACGCGTGTGTGAAGAAGCAAGGATTCGATTGTTGTTTTATTTAAAAATGGTATCAATTTTTAAATATATATACCGATCCACCTGACAGATGACGACGATGACGATTCACAAAAATCTCAACGCTTTCGTCAATTGCAACTGGCCGACAGAGGAGAAGCCAAACACCTAGAAATAGAAGAATAGGGGAATTGCCCTCCTTCATAGCGGAGAGACAAAGGCCAGAGGGATTATTAAGAGAACCAAAGTCGGAGACTGCACGACCATCAACCACAGCGTCACGAGTTTGGTGCGCGACTCAAATGTTAATGGCTCTGACATTTCCGTACACCAACGGTGGCATGCAAACTCGTGAACAGTGCTCTGGAAGCGTAGGCGAAAGTAGCGTTTGGGACGATGCATCCGCTCGAAAGGGGAAAGCTTCAGCCACGCACGGGTGATTTGACGGCAGGTTTGTGTGCAGGAATGCCCCATTAACAAGGGACACAGGAAGGTTTCTCACTGCGGGGAACACACCCCTGCACAACCACCCTCTCGGCGGTATTCCCCGTCCAGAAATGTGGTCCACGTTAACCGTGCGGTCTGCACGCGCACGCGCACACGTGTCTGTGCGCGTGCGCGTGGGGTGACGGTACCGTAGCGGTTTAGCACGCTAACGCCACGAACCCGGCGACCCGAGTTCGATTCCCGACCCAGGGCCAACGCGAGTGAAGGTTATCCGAACCGGTTCTGGGCATGCCCTAGGTCGACTCAGGCCTAAAATGAGTAGCTGGTGCGGCGTGTGAACATCGCCACTGGGGAGACAAAGGCGGCCCGGGGTGGTGCTGGCAAACCCACCCCCTCGTGTGCAGTGCCAGCCTTCAAAGGTGCTAGCTAACAGCACTTGCACCAACAGTCTGTTAAGGCTATACGGGGGATCTTGGTCTTTGTTATATATATGTCCATGTATGTGTGTGTGTACGTGTGCATGTATGTGTGCGCATGTGCAAGTATGCATATGTGTGCGTGAAAATGCGAGTTCGTGTGTGCGTGTGTTTTTGTGTGCGTGTACATATGATTGCATGGTTGTATGTGAACGTGTATATATGGGGGGGGGGGATCGTTGTCTTTCAACCGACATTACTTTGTTGTGGTTTTCACTTTGTCAAAGACATCGTGTCAATTTACGTTGAGGGTAAAAACAAATATTCTAGAAAGTAAAATACAAACACGTTGCCCTTCCCAGAAGTCGTACCATTAACCATGTGTTGACTTTAATCAAGTGTAACAATGACAGAGTAAAATTATTCATAATGGTGATGTATTAAAATAAAAGATTTAGTTCATCTTACAAATGAAGAACCATTTATAAATATGTATATATATTTTTTTAAACGGCTCTCTAAAATATATATACCTGAAACACATTAGTCACCAGGAGGATTCAAATACCCCCCCCCCCCAAAAAAAACCCCATCAAAGTTAAATAGCTGTCGAGAAGTGGCCGGTTTGCTCGGGAGACGTGAAAAGCACCCGAGATCGAGCAGCACCCCTGAGAGTCTGGGTTTGAATCCGGGCAGCCGCCCGTGATCACAGCGGAGATTCTCAAGTGTGGCGGCGTTGATGATCCCACTCGGCCTAATCGCTCGCAAATGAGCGCGCGCGCGATAGACGCCACCGTGCCTCGTTCGCATCTCGCCTATTTTCGCTCATTTGTAGCTCTGAGAACGGGACCGTGACCAGTTTGACGAACACGTGAAAACGCTCTTTGTGGGAGGCACATGACGTTCTTTTGAACGCGGCGGACTGAAGCAACCTCAGAAGTACAGCAGCAGCGGCGGCAGCAGCAGCAGCAGTTATTTGGCGCCATTTTCATATGGCGGTTCTAAGACACGTGATGGTTACACCGCTGGCTGTGAGAGTGTCCCAAATGAAGTGCGGAAAGCCTCATCTGTTGACGCGACCCCGACGGGTGAAATGAGAACTACCGATTGCTTTTGAATGTATACTCTGCAGCATCACGGAGGAGCCGCCGGTATAGGCGCTTGAGCGCGAGATATTTTTTGTTCGAACAAATCCGACGGCGGGACACATGTATGCACGTTGAACTTCTTTCGCGCCGTACGTGGCCAACCGTGGCTCATCAGAGGTGCCGGGGAAGGACGACAAATTGCGTGCATGGACATGGATGGAGTCGGGACTTAACTCCTCGTCGAATGTATTCCGGGGTCGCTCGTAGACCTCAGTAGGTGGCACGTGGCCAGCGGTAAGCACATCAATAGGTGAGAGGTACACTGGATGTGGTGTGACCGGGGCACGGAAATAGCTATTGCACCCCCCACCCCACCGATGTGTATTCGGGTCGAGGCGCGTGTTGTTTGGCGCGCTGTCCGACGTTTCGCACCACGTGCCGGGAGCTTCTTCGGGAGCGAACCGTCGGCGGCTTGTCGCGGCAAACGACACGCGGCACGAGCCGAGAGCACATCGGTGGGGTGGGATTGGGATGGGGGCAGTGCCGGATTATCCTGGTAGCACAAGTAGCTACACAAGTACTATCAAGCACTATCAAGGGCCCCGCGCTAAATACTTTCAAGCTATCAATTCCGGTTCAGTGATTCTGCACTTGCTCTATTACTATAGTACTATACTGCCTTCAACTTTTAGGAACGACTGGGTGTTTAAGGTTACAGATTTGTCGTATTATCTGGCTGTATGGCAAATGCGAAAATACAATTACTTTACTATGCAAGTGAAAAAATTGTGTTTTAATATTTATGTTTTTTTTTTCAACATAGGGTCCCCTTATTACATATGCTTCAGGCCCCGCACTCGCTTAGTCCTGCACTGGTTGGGAGAGAGCTGTCACGGCGAGACCGCGACAACCTACCGCGGTAGACAGAGCCGGACCCAACGTAACCCATGGAATGGGCGCGTAGCCTCACCGGCGTAGCTCATGTAGTTGTTGAACGGCGTGTGCTGAAAGTAGCGCTGGTTGCAGGTGTCGTTCCGGGGCTCCGGGTCGTGGCACAGCTTATTCTGCGGCGTGGGGGCCGTGTCGGCGCAGAGGTCCCCCTTCTCCAGCGACGGGGTGGTCTCCTGGCAGGGGTCGTTGCAGGATTCGGTCTCCGACACCCCCCGGAAGACGTGGTAAAGTCCCAGGTTGTGGCCCAGCTCGTGGATGATGGTGTGCGTGTGTCCGGCCTTGCCATAGTACGTGGGATTGAGCACCACGCCACCTGCTCGTTCCGAACGATTAATTACGATGATTGATAATCAATACGCAATCATCAGGGTGGCAGACACTGGCGGCGAGATAGCGGCGAGACGTAGCCCGGGCGCAGACGGAAATTACAGAAGGCCCAATTTAAATCATGTGATTAAAAACACGTGATTAAAGCCGTGGATAATTACAGCCACTTCAATTGTGGTATTTATAATTTAGACGGAACAAAAAAACTGATTCTATCTCCGTCAGAATATAAGCAGCAATTGTAATATTATCAGATTCCGAATTATGCCGTTTTCCCATTTTCGCACTAATTATTCAAATGAAACGACGTGCGGGTGCTTTGAGCGTAAAACTGCACAACGTGCACCCTTGTTTAGCCCAATAAAGCCGAATGGCCGTCCTGCAAAACGACACGCGCATCTCTATTGTTTACAGGGCCCAAGCGAGACGGTGGTTTCACACACTGCGCGAGAGGGGTGAGGGATATCTGAACGCGTCCCTCGGCACCCACGCCTCTCCACCCCCTTTAGTACCAACCCGCACCGACCGTTGTATGGTGAAGTATGGTCGTACGACTCCCATGTCCGACAAAGCGTGGGGAGAGGAGAGGCATCCATCCAGCAGCGGACGGACAAGGCACTGCAAATTAGTCTACGTTATTGTGTTGTCTCGTGAAGAATGATAATAATGAATTTGTTGTGAAAACTTTTTTCATTGTTTGTGCTAATTGTTTTGGTGCCATTTCGTTATTTGTTTATTCATATTTTTATTTCTCCTGGGTACAAGTAGGGTTTTCATTTGCTTGATAGTGGCCATCTACGAGATTTGGTCCTCATATATAATGAATGTACCGCAATGTGGCAATGCTTTTAGCATAAATGACGACGTATAAAATTAAAGTATTATTAAGAGCAGCGAACGGACAAAGTGCTACAAATGAGTACACGTCATTGCATTATGTCTAATAAATACGGCTAAGCCACAGGAGGAGACAAGAGCGGTGCTAATTACGACCAATAGCGATCTGTAGAGCCCTTCAACATCCACCCAGCCAACCGATACATTAGCATAATGCTAATCGTGTAGATCGCGGGGCGAGAGTTATGTTACACCGCTGGCTGCCTGGGTCTCTCCCTTCCTTTCTTGTCAATTGGCAGCACTCCACGACTTCATTGCGGTAATCACAGCGAATATTCTGGCATTCCCCAAGTGCCGAGTCGCATTTTTAGTCAGTTTGACAAAACTGCATTGAAGAAGGAAAATCCGGCGTTCTGAACGCACTTGGACCGGCATTCAGACTTTGCGGCGCGCTTGCCTTAAAATTCCAGTTTGTCTTTGTGGTTACGGCGTTAATTCGCACGCTCCAATTTAAAATCGTAATTCACAGACCGTTGCCAATCTACTAGCTGAGTGACGGCCTTCCTTCCCCGTGCCACGTCAGTGCTTGGGGGTTGTTTGACCGTACTTGACCGTGCACTGACCCCGGGTTACCGGATTCGTACCGCTGTGTGCTAGCCACTGCGCCACCGCTCCCCAAATCGAACCGTTCACGCGAACTCTGAGGTCATCCTCGCATCGAACAAAAGACGGTCACCGCATCGCGTGCTTTCAGATGCCCTTATGAGGCCGTCAGGAACGCTCTTCCTTCCGATATTAGGAAGCCACTGGAGCTATGGAACTTTTCAGTCATCTGGATTGAAAACTAATTTCTTGAGAACCGCTTTTTGGGATTAGTTTGTTGTCCTTCCTCCGCACCTCCGATTGGCACGGTTGGCTATGCACGGTGCGAAAGAAGTTCAACATATGTTACCGATGACAATTTTGAACATTATTTTAGTGATTGAGAAAATATTGCTTTATAACATATATTTGCATAACTAATTACTAATTCTATCAAATTTGTATAAATATTAAGACCACAATACAGAGAGAATACATAGTCAGCAAAGCGTTAGTAAGGCATTGGTTCAACGCTGTGTATCAGTGTGTGTAGTGTTAGTAAGGCACTAGTTTAACGTTGTGTATCAGTGTGTGTTGTGTTAGTAAGGCACTAGTTTAACGTTGTGTATCAGTGTGTATAGTGTTAGTAAGGCATTAGTTTAACGCTGAGTATCAGTGTGTGTAATGTTAGTAAGGCACTAGTTTAACGCTGTGTATCAGTGTGTGTAGTGTTAGTAAGGCACTAGTTTAACGTTGTGTATCAGTGTGTGTTGTGTTAGTAAGGCACTAGTTTAACGCTGTGTATCAGTGTGTGTTGTGTTAGTAAGGCACTAGTTTAACGTTGTGTATCAGTGTGTGATGTGTTAGTGAGGCATTGGTTTAACGCTGTGTATCAGTGTGAGTTTGTGTTAGTAAGGCACTAGTTTAACGTTGTGTATCAGTGTGTGTTGTGTTAGTAAGGCACTAGTTTAACGCTGTGTATCAGTGTGTGTAGTGTTAGTAAGGCATTAGTTTAACGTTGTGTATCAGTGTGTGTTGTGTCAGTAAGGCACTAGTTTAACGTTGTGTATCAGTGTGTGTAGTGTTAGTAAGGCACTAGTTTAACGTTGTGTATCAGTGTGTGTAGTGTTAGTAAGGCACTAGTTTAACGTTGTGTATCAGTGTGTGTTGTGTTAGTAAGGCACTAGTTTAACGCTGTGTATCAGTGTGTGTAGTGTTAGTAAGGCACTAGTTTAACGTTGTGTATCAGTGTGTGTTGTGTTAGTGAGGCACTAGTTTAACGTTGTGTGTCAGTGTATTTAGTGTTAGTAAGGCACTAGTTTAACGTTGTGTATCAGTGTGTGTTGTGTTAGTAAGGCACTAGTTTAACGTTGTGTATCAGTGTGTGTTGTGTTAGTGAGGCACTAGTTTAACGTTGTGTATCAGTGTGTGTTGTGTTAGTAAGGTACTAGTTTAACGTTGTGTATCAGTGTGTGTTGCGTTAGTAAGGCACTAGTTTAACGTTGTGTATCAGTGTGTGTTGTGTTAGTAAGGCACTAGTTTAACGTTGTGTATCAGTGTGTGTTGTGTTAGTAAGGCACTAGTTTAACGTTGTGTATCAGTGTGTGTTGTGTTAGTAAGGTACTAGTTTAACGTTGTGTATCAGTGTGTGTTGCGTTAGTAAGGCACTAGTTTAACGTTGTGTATCAGTGTGTGTTGTGTTAGTAAGGCACTAGTTTAACGTTGTGTATCAGTGTGTGTTGTGTTAGTAAGGCACTAGTTTAACGTTGTGTATCAGTGTGTGTTGTGTTAGTAAGGCACTAGTTTAACGTTGTGTATCAGTGTGTGTTGTGTTAGTAAGGCACTAGTTTAACGTTGTGTATCAGTGTGTGTTGTGTTAGTAAGGCACTAGTTTAACGTTGTGTATCAGTGTGTGTAGTGTTAGTAAGGCACTAGTTTAACGTTGTGTATCAGTGTGTGTTGTGTTAGTAAGGCACTAGTTTAACGTTGTGTATTAGTGTGAGTTGTGTTAGTAAGGCACTAGTTTAACGCTGAGTATCAGTGTGTGTTGTGTTAGTAAGGCATTGGTTTAACGTTGTGTATCAGTGTGTGTTGTGTTAGTAAGGCACTAGTTTAACGTTGTGTATCAGTGTGTGTAGTGTTAGTAAGGCACTAGTTTAACGTTGTGTATCAGTGTGTGTTGTGTTAGTAAGGCACTAGTTTAACGTTGTGTATCAGTGTGTAGTGTTAGTAAGGCACTAGTTTAACGCTGAGTATCAGTGTGTGTTGTCGCCGATGTTCCCTGTGCACATTTAAAACTTCTCCCGCACGGTCTCCATTCCACAGCCTGCGTGCCCCCCAGCCCCCCCCCCCCCCTGAGAAGCTTTCGTGCTCCCCCGCCACACCCCTCCCCCCAGGAAGGGGTCACCAGGGGTCACCAGGGGTCACCCCCCCCCCCCCACCCCCACGGATTGAGGACCGCTGTAGTAGGCTCTGACTACGAGAAATTGGCTCGTACCAAGGTGGGTGAGAGCTTCCTTATCCCAGGGCCAAGTGGCCACTCCGGCCAGGTCCTCGCCCACGGAGTTGGCGAAGTAGATGTTGAGATGCGTCGAGCCGTTGAGCCTCAGGATCTCCTTGAGCTCCTTTACGTCCAGGTAGATCCTTTTTTAGAACGGAAAAGAACGCGCAGCTTGTAAAATAACGCGCGAAGGTCTCGCGACGTGCGGGGGTGACCTCTTTGTAACGGAGGAAAGAGGCCGCCCCGTTAGAAACGTTTGACGAGGCGCGATGCAATGCGGGGTACGCTACGGCGCGTCGAAATGCCACGGCGTCTCGAGGTGGTGAACAGAGGCAGGTGCAGAGGCATCCCTCGATTTACGACAGGGGATGCGTTCTTCAGAAAAAAGAACTCGTAAAAACGAAATGTTGTAAAGGGGAATGGCTCTACCCATTAATTCAATTTAAAAAAAAAATGAGATATGCGTTTCGGACAGTCATTCCAAACGCTACTCCTAACCTAAAAAAATATACACCTGTATCACTTTTAACAATTAAAAATATAATAGAGAACGTGCATATTAAAACGGTTGAATAATTAATTTAACACTGGCATTAAACATTTTAATTGTTTGTTCATTAAGTTAATATTGTATCTGTTATCACTATTACATAGTTTTCTACTTCTTCCTTTTCGACAAAGAGCCCTGAATAAATTGAGACTAAACATCAAGTTATGAAATCTCAAAGATTACAATTGTAATCTGAAAAAAAAGTCCTAAATTAATTTCCAAAAGAAATTTCATGCTCGCATTAACGTTAATGGAAGTCAGTTTTGAATATGTGTTAAAATAAATCAAATCAAAAACCCTATATGATTGACAACCCTATGTTAGTACCCTGCTTACATATGGTGTGCTTATAACCGACTTCTACTACGTTCGAGGGAGAGTGACTTTTTTGTTTGTTTTGCGGTGAAAGGCAGCGACGTTGACGTTACTCCGTTGACTTATCTGTCGAACAGAAAAGCGATTGTGAAAAGCTTGGCCTTCGTGCTCTGGAAATGAACGCGTGACGTCACCCCAGTCGAACTCAACACCCTTTGTCTGACAAAAGCAAATCGACAGCGCAGCGACCCCGCCGGCCAGGCCAGCCACCCGGCGCAATTCCGTCGCCGGCGCACGCGTGGCTGCGTTCGTACACTGCGTTCAAACGCCACGCCTTGCGCTCAGCCACCTCTCTGTCTGCATCTTTTTGGCAAGTTCTTACAAAGCATCCATAATAGCGGAGGTTTTTTTTTTTTTGGGGGGGGGGGGGGGGGCAGTGGGGTTAGGTCGCATGAATATAAATGTGTCGTTAAACCCGCCACCACCCGACACAGCCAATTAGTAAGGTTTGTCACGTAAACAAAACATGCCAATTGGTTACTAGTTTGGCACACCGGTGTGTTGGAGAGTGAAGCAACAACATTTACATTTCGAGTATGTTTCGCCGGTAATTACAACCAGCCTCATCAGGCGGCAGCCAGAATTGAATTTACGCAATCTAGCCCAAAAAAAACTCTTTTATGGAAAATTTTGCTCGTGAAAGCCTATGTGTTATTCTTACAATGTATGTTGAACTCATATTGCACTTTACATCGCCAATCGCGCTTAATCAGAGGTGCGAATAACCATGCTCAATTCAAGAAACGCATTCACTCTCATCTATCAGATCTTCAATTGCGCTGTTTGTTTATCTGTTAAGCTCGATTAAAGAAAAATCAGCACGCTAACATTTCGATAACACTCCTTGTGACATTTGTCAAGGCCGGGAGGTTGCCATGGCCGATGCCACAGATGTGACCACAACTTACCATGCACTTCTTTCTTGAAGTTGTTGTCGTTGTTTTGTTATCGCTGCTGCTGTGCTCTCATGTGAAATATCCGGGCAACTCGATGAATGGGACCATCCGTGCAACAAATGAAATAAACTTTAACTTTCTTCCTTCCGCCAAATCCCATAATTGTAGTGAGGCCAACACCAGACCTTCAGGGTCTGCCAGTAAGATTGCCTTTGCTGCACGCTCACAAATTAGCATCGCCACCTCCAAGATATCAACAAAAAAAATATGGGACATTTCACGGCAAGAATAATATCGCACAATACCGGAATCATCTCGGGTGGTAGATTTTTACGCCCTGGGAAGAATTAGAGACTTCCCAGAACAGCAGCAACCTCTAACCAACAAAGAAGCAAATGGAGGATCCTGGGAAAAGCAGGACATGGTGGCGGCAACCCGAGCAATCTTCGGCGACCAACTCGGAAACGCATCGCGTCTGGCGACCGGTGCAAATACGCGAGCGTGCGCATCGGTCATCCGGAGGTCGCGCGTGTACCTCTGCGGTATTTTCCATTAAAAACAACAGACACACACGCACGCCGCACCTATTGGGCGACTCGGGATCGAAGCAGGTCCTCGTCATGTTGTCGGAGAATTGCTCGCAGCAGTCTCCGTTGTCGAACGCGTTCTTCGCCGTGTTGCATTCGGGGTCGCAAACGCCGTTCTCCATCATTTCCAAATTACAATCGGCCGCGTGTCCCGACGACGACGATGACGACGAGGAGGAGGAGGAGGACGATGGGTAGTGGCCGGAGAGCGGCTGGCAGTCGCCCCCATCGTAGCCGGTCAAGGGGTGGCTGCACTCGGGGTCACAGTTCTGATTGCCCACCTTGGCGTGCTCGCAGTTGGCCAGGATGATGCGCTGGCGCAGCGAGGCATTAACAACGTCCACGACGGTGAGCACCCAGGAGATGTTGTACCTGCGCGCAGGTTCGCAGAGGTCAGGTCGTGGTTGTGGTTGCTGTGCGGCACAATTAAACGTAAGCATTACCGGTACACAATCAATTTTTTTGGGGGTCGGGCGCACGTAGGCCGTGTAGATTACGTGGCCAAATGTTCTGTCAAGAAACTCTCCTCCGTCCGACAAATTTAGTGGTCACGTGGTGTACAAGCTCTTGACGCACCAATTAGCGTTGTTTCAGCTCGCCGGTAAAACTGAAGAACAATTCTGGCAGTGATCACAAAAATAATTGAAACAACAATCATTGCCACGTCTGGCGCTTGTACACACCTGTGACAATTTAATTAGTTTGAGATATGTCGGGTGGTGAAGGATTTTGCTCCCCACAAATATCACAGGCTCTTGGTGCAAGTGCTGTTAGCGAGCACCTATGAAGGCCGGCACGGCACACGAAGGGGTGGATGGCCAGCACCACGCCCGGCCGCCTTTGTCTCCCTAGTGGCGATGTTAACACACCGCACCAGGTACTCATTTGAGGCTGAATGGATCTAGGGGCAGGCCCAGGACCGGTTCAGATATTCGTCACCGGTGTTGGCCGTGAGCAAGAACCGAACTCGGGTCGCCGGGTCCATAGCACAGTGCTCCCCACAGTCACACACACGCGCACGCGCACACGTGCACACGTGCACACGCAGTACCCCCCCCCCCCCCCCCCCCCAACACGCAGGCCGCCCAACCCCACCTTTGGAAAGCCTGGTTGAGCACGCGGTGCTGGTCCTCAATCTGCTCGCGGCTGACCGTCGGGTTTTCGCCGGGGGCCTCGTAGATGTTCACCAGGCGGTAGCGCACCACCTTGGGCTCGCGCAGCGGCCAGTAGCTGTTGTAGCCGGAGATGACGTGCACGTTGTCGCACACCGTCTGCCCGCACGGCGGCGGCACGAGCACCGGCCCGGCGGACGCCGCCGCCGCCGCCGGCCCCCCGGCCGCCGTCCCGGCGCCGCCTCCGCCGCCGTCGCCGGCCTCGCTCGCCTGCACCGACTGTACGCGGGGGTAGGCGCCCCCCTTGACCGCGAGCCAGCCGACCTTGAGCGCGTCGAAGTCGTCGCCGCCGCCCGCGACGTCGGCCGCGGGCGCGGCGCCACCGCCGCCGCCGCCGCCGCCGCTCGATGCGGACGCCTCGCTCGGCCCACGCGCGGATCTCGCCGGAGCCGAGCGCCCGCCGCCAGAGTCGCAGGCCGCTCAGGAATCCGCGGTAGGCGCGCTCGCCCCGCGCGTTGTCGCCGCCCAGCACCAGCGTCTTGCAGGCGGCCACCTCGGGGGCGAAGAGCGGCCCCGCGCGGCCCGACACGCGCGACCTGGCGACCCGCGCGCCGTTCACGAACAGGCCGAGCCGCCGGCCGTCGTAGGTGGCGGCCAGGTGGGTCCACGCGTCGGGGACGTAGCGCAGGGGCGACACGAGCGTCGTGGCCGAGCGCGAGTTGTCGGCGTTCAGGGAGAAGAAGTAGCGCGAGCGGGCCGGGGCGTGAGCGGCCGCGGCCGCGGCGGCGGCGGCCGAGGTCGGGGCGCCGCCGTGGTGCGTCCCGGCGGGGTTCACGTGGACGATGCCGAGCGACCATCCCTTGTCGTGCCGGCCGTAGAAGCAGTCGTCGAAGAGCCCTGCGGAAACGACGGCCGGTGTGGTGAACCGTCAGAGTGTGCGCGCAAGCGTTGGTTCGCGAGACGGGTTCGCGAGGTTGCGTGTTGCCGCCCTCGTGAAGCGATGGCGGACGCCGCTTTCATCGGTGTGGTCTGGTTTTCCCGGAGGGCACTGGTTCTTTACCTTTCCCGCAGCCTTGCACCCCATTGGTTCTCAGTCGTAAGAAAAAAATGCATAATATTAATAAATATATAGGGTTTATGAAACAAAGTAGTTTTACTTACGTGCCCAAGGAGCTCTTTCTCCTACGTCAGCAGTTCTCCTGCTGGGTTTGTTTCACCTGATGACGATTGCTTGTGTTGCGATCGAAACGTCGCGATCTATTAATTTTCCATCTACGTGACTGTACCGAAAGAAGCAAAGAGTATGGATTCCTGCAGTCACGAAAGCTTCAAATCAAGATTGTGTTTAACCTTCCAATAAAAATCCACTCATGTCTCGCACCCCCAGAAAGGGCATCTCGCATCCCCCGGGAAGTGCGTGCACCACAGGTTAAGAACCACTGCCGCATGCGAAACGTGTCCCTACGAGCAACACAAACTCATAACAGGGATTCGTTCATCTGCGATCGAAGCTACGAGAGGTATGGTGCCCTCCCCACTGCCCACGACAGACGGACGGACAGGCGGACGGAATTAACGCCACGCAAACACTTTCGACCGTTGTATGTTAAACTTGAATTGCTATTCGGAGATGAAACCTCTTGTCGGAAAGCGTTAATACATGGGTTCTCAGTCCTGATGTATTTGACGTGTTTTGTTTTTCGTTGGTTGAGTTTTAATTGCTGGAATGTTTGAGTCACGTAAGAGGTGAGTGTCCACGTTAATACGTTTCGACGAGAAATAAAGTGCGAGAGAAATTGGTGAATTTGACCAAAATTAAGATTCGATGACGGTAATAGAATTACTGACTTGCAACCCTTTGTTACTCTACTGCTAGATGAAGAACTCCCTATACCAATGTCGACCATGGGGGTTGCTTGACCATGCTTCACCACTCTGGTCAGTTCAAGAAAAAGGGTGGCCCAGGACCTGTTCAGATATCACTCGCCACTGACATTGTCCATGACCAGGAATCGACACTCAAGTCGATGGGTTCATAGCGCAACGTGCTAACCACTGCTCCATCATTCCAATGGAATTCAACAACACGTTAAACTTTTTTAGCACCATACAAAACCAATCGTGCTCATCAGAGGCGCGGGGGAGGGACAACAAACTAAACACAAAAAGCAGTTCTAAAGAAATTAGTTTTCAATCCAGATTTAAAAGTGCATTGCTCCGATGGCAACCTAACATCGGAAGGAAGAGAGTTCCAGATGGCCACAGAAGCGCATCTGAAAGCGCGCGACGCAGTGGACCGTATTTGTTCGAATCCGTATCTGTTTTATGAAAGCTTATCGACATAATCCACAGGCACTTCACACAAATCACGTGTGCAGTGCTCAGAGGTGCAAGGTGTGAATGAACACGGCAATGAAAAGGACACACTTGAAGTGGACTTCACCGCAATAACTTCCAGGTCGTAAATTTTTTATAACCCAGCTTTTACTGGACCACATTCGAAAATTTTAAAACACACGGATCAGAGAACAAACACAAATTAAACAGATAATATTGACTTAAGTAAGCTGGGGCTTGGGCAGGATACATCCGTAGCAGGGGTGGGGGTGGGGGGTGGGGGCGACAGCCAAGCGGCGACTGGGTACAGGAACGGCAGCAGCCGGAAAGGAGAAAGTAAGACGGAGGCCCTCACAGGGATGGAGCAATGAGATAGGCCCCATGTGCAGGAGCGAGATGGATTTCGGTGCCACGAGCAAGACCGTGAGCGGACGACAGTGATTGTGGGGGGAGCCTTCGTCCACAGCGGTGGATAAATCATGCCTCTTTTTGATGATGATGATGACTTTCAAATGGAGAAGTCTAACATGTGCACAACGATGTCAAACAACAAACTGACAACATTAATCGAAACATTTTTAAAACTACATCTTCCCCACCCCCCCACCCCCCCCCCCCCCAAATATTTATGCCCTACAATTGTTCGTACAAAATTGTGTTACAATGACAAACGTAATCAGATTTAACTCGAAGTTTAACCGAGAATTATTAAAACACCACTTATTCCGTCACGAATCTAATCTGCATCTTTTAATTTTCGAATTGTTTTGTTAATGCATAAACAAATATAATGCATTGCACTTTACAGAAAACAAAGGGCAGTCGCTCAGATGCTCTGACGCACAGTCGGTGTCAAACACTGCTGACGATTGCTTTTAAACGTCACACTTTCAAACATCGCTGACGATTGCTTTTAAACGTCACACTTTTTGTTTCACGTTTATTTCTTTTCATTCTTTTGCCCCCCCCCCCCCGTACCTTTTAATTTGAGACAAAGTGCCAACAAAAATCGGCGAGACATAAACACGGGACAATCCCAGCTTACTACCACTCTTGCTTTCGTGGAATCTGCGAGAGCCCGATACTAAATATTTCTGCAGCGAATGCCAGCATGCATCTTGATTATTCCTGTCATGCCCCCGCCTCCAACCCCCCAACAAATGGAAATTGAACAGCCTCTTTTGAGGTGCCAAGCCAAATAATATTTGATACACGTGGTATTTATTTATTTATTCATTTGCACGTTCTTCGCAGTATGTGAATGGAATCACGTAAACGGATGTGTTTGCGCGCGTTCAAATTGAGCCCATATTAGCCTGCGACTCTTTTTTTATTTGAGTGTTTTTACTACTTACTCTGCATAGTTTGTGCCAATGCATATTCTGTAACTTCAAAAAGGTATGCGCCGGAGTACAGGCGGCGTAAATCCCTTCAAATGAACACGCATGCAACTGTGTATTTTCTTAGGCGGGTGGAAATTGCGTAACAGCTCTCTCCGGTCGATATATCAGCCTCTGCTTACCATCACGACAAAGTGCCATCCCCGGCGCGCTTGCCGTGTTAATTTAGCCCTCGCGAAATGCCGACGGTGTTTATTTTTCACGCGTATTATTGGCGACTCGCGCTGCGTTTCGTGCGCCGGCAGCGAATGGATCAGACGGAATTTTCGTCGGCCTAAAAAACATAAACGGCCGCTCTGAACGAACGGGCGGAGCGAATGTTCCGACGCGAATCCCAAACCAAACGCGTTCCACCACTGCGTCTTCGCGCTTTGCCGCTCTATGCTGGACACGCGGTTACATCGTCGGTTACGTTTTTTCCGACCAATAAATTCCCCGACCTCCCCCACCGCCCCCTAAAAGTTGCAAAGATTTTCAGTTTTATAGCAAAAGGAAAAGTTACGATTATATAAAAAAAAAACTTGGAATGACATTTTTTTTTAAAACATCTCATCTGTGAGATGTGTTAGTTTTAAGTGCGTTGTATAAGCGCGTTGCCGGCATACACATGGGCATGAGCTGCAGAAACCCACCCGTTTGCGACGCGCTGACGCAACGCTTTTATTTCGAACAAAAAATATAAATAAATATCGGCGGCTATAGAACAAAAAAGAATCGGGTAAAATAATAACGTAACGATGAATTTCACACGTTCAACATTTTCGTTCGAAATATTCACTGACGCACGAGATTGCTTCAGAGTCTTTTTTTTAAATGATGGGTCCTGCCTGAAACAAGTGTCTCTGAAGGGCCTTTAAAAATTCCCTGTCCAGGCGCTTCCCCACCCACAAGCATCTCCCCCTCCACCCCACCTCTCCGCTGGGAGCAACAATTTTGGACGCTGCGTTCTCTCCGCGTGCATCTGAATTTCCCATCAGCCTGTAGGGAAATGCCTTTTACACAGCAAAAGGGAATAGACCCGCCGCCCGATCCACCACCTATCGCGACGAGCACGCAACAACAACAAAAAACCAGCACTCACTGGCTGCGTTCAAATCCCATCCCAGATAGCGGTGCTGAGCAGAGCATCCAAAGATCCAGTGAGAGGGGCAATTGGGACATTCGTCTGCGCTGACACCTGCCCAAAATTACGTGTGAAAACAACTGGGCCGTAAGTGCCACCCAGTGAACTTCCCACCAATGAAATGCCTCATATAAGGATAAAACACTCGGTGAGTGTGCCTTGATCGTGCGTAGCGTAGCGTCATGTGGGGAGCGGTGGTGCAGTGGTCAGCGCACTACCCGAGGGACCACGGCGAGTTCGAATCCCGCTCGCGACCAACATCGGTGACGAATATCTGAACCGGCCTTGGGCCTCCCCTAGGTCCACTCGGCCATAAATAAGTCCCTGGTGCGATGTGTAAACATCGCCAATCGGGAAACGAAGGCGGGTACGGGCATGGTGCTCGCCACCCCACCACCGTGTATGCCGTGCTGGCCTTCATAGGTGCTCACCAGTAGCAGTTGCCCCAAAAGTGTGTTAAGGCTAATCGGGGGGGGGGGGGGGAGGGGTTATTTGCCTTTGTTTTGTAACGTCGTGAAAACTGCACGCGGCTTCGCGGAGAGCACGTTTTCAGAAGCTCGTTATTTTTTCATCGCGCAAAATATGTCATGTATAACGCGACGATATATACTAATGCCTTGTTACATTTACAGTACGTTGAATAATGCAGGCAGGAATTCATTATTAATTACAACTTTGGTGGGGTTTGACTACAAAGGGGCTGCACCGCTGAAGAAAAACAACTTTCAATAATACGCGAACGGCGCTTTGTTCTAATTCAGACCTAAATGCAGGCATTATAGAAATCTGTTGACAGCAAAGAGACTCGATATTGCTACGGTACAGCAAATATACATTGAATGAAACATCAAAGAATATCACAGCCGCTTGCGCATTCCACACGGGCATCACATGCATAAAAGTAACCTATAGCAAAGAATGTTGGCGAAAGCTAAATCAATTATCCGTGGCTTGGTATGACAGAGTAGAATTTAGAGCAGAAGGATAAGGATTTGTATTTGTATAACGCAAGCGGATACACAGAGACAAAGATCCCC